AACACCTTCAACAATAGCTAACCATTGGTTGAGTGCTCACATTGGACAGTCATTGTGCTGAAATTTTGCATAATTTTACATAAGCCAACAATCACCCTATGAAGGTCCATATACTGATAAGTTAGTCAAGAGCTTAGAGATGCACAATATTTTTTTCTTTTTTTCCTTTTCCTTTCTGTCTCCTTCCCCTTTCTCCCCCCCCCCCCATTTTCCTTTTCCTGTCCTTTCCTTGTACTGGGGCTTAAACTCGTACCCTGGACACTGTACTGGGCTTCAAAACAACACAAGACAACACAAAAACTCTCACAGGGCACCAGTGGCTCACGCCTGCAATCCTAGCTACTCAGGAGGCTGAGATCTGATGACTGGTTCAAAGCCAGCCAGGGCAGGAAAGAACGAGAAACTCTTATCTCCAATAAACCATCAGAAAACCGAAATGGAGTTGTGCTCAAGTGGTAGAATACTTGCCTTGAGCTGAAGATCTGAGGGACAGCTCCCAGGCCCAGAGTTCAAGCCTCATGACCGACACACACACACACACACACACACATCTGAGGGACAGCTCCCAGGCCCAGAGTTCAAGCCTCATGACCGACACACACACACACACACACACACACACACACACACACACACACACAAGATCTGAGGGACAGCTCCCAGGCCCAGAGTTCAAGCCTCATGACCGAGACACACACACACACACACACACACACACGCACACACACACACACACACACACACCCTCTCTCAAATCTAGCACTCTATCACATGGGACACACCCCCACTTTGGGCTTATAGACTTTTTGTGCTTGGGCTGGCTTTGAATTCCAATCTTCAGCTCTCAGCCTCTTGAGTACCTAGGATTATAGGCCTGAGCCACTGGCTTGGCTTTGGATTTCAGTTTGTATGGACCCAGTGAACTTCTGCCCCCATTTTTTTTTTGCAGGTCCTGGAGCTTGGGCTCTCTTGGGCTCTCTGTGCTCCAGACTAGTTCTCTACTACTTGAGCCACAGCAGCACTTCCAGCCTTTTCTGTGTATGTGGTACTGAGTAATTGAACCCAAGGCTTCATGCATGCTAGGCAAACACTCTACCACTAAACCACATTCCCAGCCCCATCTGTCCCCTTATTTATTTATTTATTGGGGGGGGGTCTGGTCGTGGGGCCTGAACTCTGGGCCTGGGCGCTGTCCCTCAGCTCTAGGCTAGTGCTCTACCAGTTGAGCCACAGCACCACTTCCGGCTTTTTTTTCTGCTTATGTGGTGTTGAGGAATCGAACCCAGGGCCTCTTGCATGCAAGGCAAACACTCTACTTTTTTGGGGGGTGGGGGGTCGGTCATGGGGCTTGAACTCTGGGCTTGGGTGCTGTCCATGCGCTCTTCAGCTCAAGGCAAGTGCTCTACTGCTTGAGTCATATCACCACTTCTGGTTTTCTAGTGGTTTATTGGAGATAAGAGTCTCACGGACTTTCCTGCTGAGTTTGAACCTTGATCCTCAGATCTCAGCCTCCTGAGTAGCTAGGATTACAGGTGTGAGCCACGGCGCCTGGTGCACTCTACTTTTTTGGAGCATCAGATGGGGTGGGTGAGGGTGGTTGGAAGGGGGACTGCAATTACTACTTTAAATGTTTTTACTGCGTTAGGTAGAAGAACACCAACATAAATACAGTATTGTTTCATTGGCCACTTAATTTCAGAAAGAGCAGTCATATGCCAATACCTCACACTTGGAGTCTGAGCAGCTAGGATTATGATTTGAAGCCAGCCTGGATGGGCAAGTGTGTGAGACCAATCAACCACCAAGAGCTGCAAGTGGAGCTGTGGTTCAAGTGGTAGAGCACCAACCTTGAGCAAAAGAAAGGGGACAGCATCAAGGCCTTGAGTTCAAGCCCCCAATACTAGCCCAAATGTAACAAAGAACACTGAGGGAGATAGGGGAGAGAAAGTAAGTAATTTATAAGGTGAAAAGTAAAAGACCAGGTGAGCAAAGCTGAGGAAGATGAATAGGTGTGACCCTGAGAAAATCTTAAGAGCTCTGCTAGTATAAATTTAGCTTTCTCTCTCTCTCTCTCTTTTCCCCCTCTCCCCCCCCCCCCCCCCCCCCCCCCCCCCAGCATAGTGTTGCATCTCTGGGAGAGGAGGTAACAGTAGGTCTACCAGGATGGCAACATTGTAGCTAACAAGCAGACAATTTAAATTTCCTAAGAGGGACATGAAAGACATTATCAGCAGTGATACAACTTTGGAAGTTCAGTGTTTCAGCTGTAGGAGAAACTGTAACCATTAACCTCTTAATCTCAGAAGGCAATTTAAAATGGATACAGTTTTTTCATGTAGTGTTGCCATCTGTCTCAAATAGTTTGCTAACTCTGTGTGGATAATTTGGCAACATACCTTTGCCTTCAGAAATGTTTGCAGAACAAAATAGAAACTATGTCAAGCAAGTTAGCATAAGTGAGGGCAATTTACTAAGAGACACTAGAGGGAAAGGGAAACAGCTGTTGATAGTATTGCTCAGAGTTGTTTCTAGATAGGCACAAAATAGTATACACCAACGCCATCTGCCTAGGTTGCAGAACAAACTTTTCTCAAAAACCAGTTGTTTTAAAAGAAGACTAACTTTATTTTTTTTGTTTATTTAGAATTAAGTGAGGGATTTCTTTGGTCGGTTTTTACCATTGGAAATATATATATATATATATATATATATATATATATATATATGTATGTATGTATGTATGTTATTTGTGGGATCTGAACTCTGGGCCTGGTCGCTGTCCCTCAGCTCTTCAGCTCAAGGCTAGCACTCTACCACTTGAGCCACAGCTCCACTTCCGGCTTTTTCTGCCTATGTGGTGCTGAGGAATCGAACTGAGGGCTTCATGCACGCTAGGCAAGCACTCTACCGCTAAGTGTATTCCAGCCCTGGAGCTAAAATATTAAGATTGCTACTTGGACTTATATTTTGGCTTTTTTTTTAAAAAAATCAAGGCTAGCTCGTGCACTCGGCTTTCTCTCCCTCTCCCCCTCCCTCTCCCTGTTTCTTTCCCCCCCCCCCCCCCCCCCCCTCATCACAGCTCCACTTCTGGCTTTTTGAGGTTAACTGGAGTTAAGAGTCTCTTGGACTTTGCTGTCCAGGCTGGCTTCAAACCTTGACCTTCAAATTTAGCCTCCTGAATATTTTAGGATTACAGGACTGACTCACCAGCACCTGGTCTCTATTTTTTTTTAAAGCATTGAATTCTTGTGTGAAAATTAACTGTTTTCTTATATGCTCAATGCTATGACTTTTTCTATTTTTTTTCTCTGTTTCTCCTTTGTGTGATAGTACTGAAGCTTGAATTTAGGGCCTGGGTGCTATCATTTAGTTTTTTCACTCAAGGCTGGTGCTCTACCACTTGAGACATAGATCCACTTCCAGCTTTTTGGTGGTTAAGAGATGAATTTCACAGCCTTTCTTGCCCCAGGTGGCTTCATATCTCAGCCTACTGAGTAAATAGGCTTACAGGCTTGAGCCACCAGGGTCTAGTTTCCTCTTGTTACTTCTGTTGAGGATGCTGAGTTAACCTATGACCCTGGGAAAATTACTTAGAACTAAGTCTCTTATTAACAAAATGGGGCGGTAGTATTTACCTTGAATGTTTATCATAATATTTACTTGAAATATCATTTTTCAAAGGGCTTGACACAATGCTTTACACAAAGTAGAAGCTAGGGAAATGTTATTTCCTTTCATCCCCACATAATAGACCCATGCTTATTTTTGCCTGAAGTGTCTTTGAGCAGTAGCCTAAACATTTGAACTACTGCTAGGCACTGGTGGCTCATATTTGCAATCCTAGCTACTCAGCCACATGAGATCTGAGGATTGCAGTTCAAAGCCAGCCTGGGCAGGAATTTCTGTGAGACTCCAATAAATTTTATCTCCAGTAAACTTCCAAAAAGCTGGAGGTGGAGCTGTGGCTCAAGTAGTAGAGTGCTAGTCTTGAGCAAACAAATGTTCAGAGACAGTGCCCAGGTCCCAAATTCAAGCTCTAGAACTGGCATACACACACACACACACACAATTGAGCTTGTCAGTTTGTATGGTGTATCTTGAGATTTGGTAAAGAATTTATTTATATATTTATTTATGTGCCAGTCCTCAGGCATGAATAAGGGCCTGGCACTATCCCTGGGCTTCTTTTGCTCAAGGCTAACACTCAACCACTAGAGCCGCTGCTTCACTTCCAGCTTTTGGTGATATATATATATATGTATGTATGTATATATGTATGTATGTATATATGTATGTATGTATATATGCCGTTGTTGTTGGTTGTGGGGCTTGAACTCTGGGCTGGGCCTGGGCACTGTCCCCCGGCTCTTCAACTCAAGGCTAGCACTCTACCACTTGAGCCACAGTGCCACGTCCAGTTTTCTGAATGGTTTATTGGAGATAAGAGTTTTCATGGGGCTGGGAAGGTGGCTCAGTGGTAGAGTGCTTTCCTTGCATGCATGAGGCCCTGGGTTTGATTGTTCAACACCACATAAGCAGAAAAAGCTGGAAGTGGGGCTGAAGCTCAAAGCCTAGCCTTGAGCTGAAGAGCTGAGGGACAGCGCCCCGGTCTAGAGTTCAGGCCCTATTACAGACAAAAAAAAAAAAAAAGTTTCACGGCCTTTCCTACCCAGGCTGGCTTTGAACCATGATCCTCAGATCTCAGCTTCCTGAGTAGCTAGGATTATAGGCGTGAGCCACCTGTTCCTGGCTTTGGTGGTTAATTGAAGATGTAAGGCTCACTGACTTTTCTGCCCAGGCTGGCTTCAAACTATGATTCTCCTCTATCAGCCTCCTGAGTAGCTAGGATTATAAGCATGAGCCACTGTTACTTGGCAAAAACAGTTTTCTAATTGAAGTGAGAGCTGTGAATTCCATCATCAAGAAAGTTTCCTACAGGCCATGTGGACATACACCTTCATTCAGGGGCTGATGCTCATAGGCTACCATTTCTCTTCCAGATGTGCAGACCTGACTCTTTGCTCTGACTGGGCAGCAATGGCTTTTGTTGAGAGAATCAGCAGTAGCAGCAGCAGCAGCAGCAACAGGTGAGTGTGAAATCCAGAATATTTGATTTTACAATTAACTCTTCAATGATATTTGTACCTTTTCATTTTTGCAAATTTAGAACTCTCTGGTGCAGGAAAATACTTGAAATTTTCATTGTTTGGACTGGAGCATGGATCAAGTGATAGAGGGTCTGGGTAGCAAATGCAAGACCCCGTTTCAAATACCAGTTTGAGGGGACAAGGATAGGAGAGGAAGGAAAGAAACCTATTAGACTGGCTTCTTGTTGTTTCTTGTCATCTTCGTTATTGTAATCGTCGTCTTCGTTGTCCTCCTCCTCCTCCTCCTCCTCTTCCTTCTTTCTCCCCCTCCTCCATCTCTCCCTGTCTCTCTCCCTCTCTCCCTCTCTCTCTCTCTCTCTCTCTCTCTCTCACACACACACACACACACACACTCTCTCTCTCTCTCTCTCTCCCTCCCTCCCCCCCTCCAGTCCTGAGGCCTGAACTCTGGGCCCAGGCTCTGTCCCTCAGCTCTTCAGCTCAAGGCTAGCGCTCTACCATTGAGCCACAGCACCACTTCCAGCCTTTTCTGCTTATGCAGTGCTCAGGAATCAAACACTCTACCACTAAGTCACCTTCCCAGCTCCTAAACCAGTCTTAATAAGCCAAATTGTTTAATTTCACACTTGTACATAAAGAAAACATTTTGCACATTCACTTTCCTCCACACCTAGTTTAACCTCTCTCCTTCTACCAGTACCCATTCTCCTACCAGGACATGTTTTACTTTTCCTGTAATTCCTTTAAAAAAAAAAAAGTATGTGGTAATTGCCAGTGCTGGTGGCTCATGCCTGTAATCCTAGCTACTAAGGAAGCTGAGATCTGAGGATCACAATTCAAAGCCAGCTGGGGCAGGAAAGTACATAAGACTCATCTTCAACAAACTACCAGAAAACTGGAAGTAGCACTGTGGCTCAAGTGGTAGAGGGCTTGCCTCGAACTGAAGAGCTCAGGGACAGTGCCCAGGCTCAGAGTTTAAGCCTCACACTGTGTGTGTGTGTGTGTGTGTGTGTGTGTGTGTGGTAATTATGTTACAGGGTTATCATCATTGTCTTTTGCATATGCATGTACAGTATTTCAAGCCTTCCCTCACTCTCAGTTTTTCACATTCTCCCTGTCCCTAATATTTAACATCTTTCATTGTTTTTCATTTTGCTATCTTCATTCATAAGTGCAATGTGTTTGAGTATTTTTTACCCTCTAACATTCTCCCCATCCCTCTTTTTTCTCTTCTTCCTCTTCCTCCTCCTCCTCCTTCTTCTTTTTCTCTTTAGGTCTGAGACCAGGACTCAAACTTAGTACCTGCTGATTTTGCTCAGTGGCTAGCACTCTACCAGTTGAGCTCTGCCTCCAACCCCAACCCTTCTTTTTTTTTGTTTGATTTTTTGAGGCAGGCTTTTAATAGCCAAGGTTGGCCTCCAACTTGAGATCTTTCTGCTTCATCCTCCTAAGTGCTGAGATTACAGACATATACTACCAGGCCTGCCCCCCCCCCCCAATCTAACAATCTCTGAGTGTCTTTATTTAAAATGTGGCTGTTATGGCCAGGTGCCAGGGGCTCATGATTATCGTCTTAGCTACTCAGGAAGCTGAGATTTGAGGATTGCAGTTTGAAGCCAGCTTGGGCAGGACAGTCTGTGAACTAGTCAGAAGTGGAGCTATAGCTCCACTAGCCTTAATTAAAGAGCTCAAGAACAGTGCCCAAGCCCTGAGCTCAAGAGTTCAAACCCTAGGACCAGCACTAAAAAAAGTGGGGGAGGGGAAACTTTAGAATAGGTCAATGTTGTAATTCTGTGTCTAAGATACTGAGAAATGTATGTATTCAGCCTGTGTCAAAACAAACCCCACATAAATCTTTGTCCCCCAAGGAGAGGTTTGGGGGATGTTTATAAGCCATTGAGACACATAGTTATTCAATGGTACTTATTGGGCAATAAATGATGCTGGAACCTTCTGGATATTTCCTACTTCCTTCTGTTTTGGGGTCATTTAGAAAATTATTTTCAGGTGATGCTGGAGGGGTTGTTAAACTTAGCACATTCTTCTCCCTGACCACAGGACATTAAGTCACCCGGGCTGCAGGAAATCATATCCTTGTAGCGCCTGGGGAGAAGACTGTGCTCATTTTTAAGATTTGTTCAAAGGGTTCCGTTATACATACATTTAAAATGTTTGTATAGTTAAATGTCGTGGCCTTTGTGGGTTCTGCTTTTGATGGTACTTAAAAGGTCTTTCCTACTCCAAGACTGTGAAAATAATGGCATGAGTTCGCTCTTGGCATCGGTGTGATTTCATTTTTTGCATTAAATCAGTACTGTGATCTGGTGGCCAGTGGAATGGGTCTAGGCCACAGCTGGGTTTTGGTTGGCTCTTCAAAGCATTATGAAAGAAATGATCTGCCAGTGTTTTATGTAACCATGCAGACTTTTTATCTTTTGAAAAATTTAAGATTTAGCAACATGTATTACCACATAGCTGTTCTCAGAATTGAATAGCCTTATTTATTAGTGATGGTGGTGATGGTGCTGAGAACTGAACTTAGGGCCTTGTACTTGCTAGGCAAGCATACTTCCACTGAGCAAAATGCCCTACCCCTCCATAGCTCTTTTTTTTTTTTTTTGCTAGTCCTGGGGCTTGAACTCAGGGCTAGGCACTGTCCCTAAGCTGCTTTTGCTCAAGGTTAGCACTCTACCACTTCAGCCACAGTGCCACTTCTGGCTTTTTCTGTGTATGGTACTGAGGAATGGAACCCAGGGCTTTATGCATGCTAGGCAAGCACTCTGCCACTAAGCCACCTTCCCAGCCCCATCCATAGCTCTTTTATATAGAATGTCAGTTGCCTTATTCTGAACTTAACAAGTAGTTTGCCATCATTAGTACTTTTCTGGTATGCCAAGATGGTGACATTTTCTCCCCTGGGCCTACAATAAACCAGAAGTCCCACCTAATTTCTTCCTGTAGATTTCTGTTTTGTTGCTTTGCCTCTTGTGCTTTTTAAAGGAGAGAGGTTGGAGGAAGAGGAGCTGCTTGGCTGTCCTAAGTTGCCATCTATTTTATTTATTTATTTTGCTGATCCTGGGGCTCAAACACCTGGGCACTGTCCCTGAGCTCCTTTTGCTCTAAGCTAGTGCTCTACCACTTGCCATAGCCCCACTCCTGGCTTTTTCTCAATAGTTAATTAGAAGTAAAAGTCTCACAGCCTTTCCTGCCCAGGCTAGCTCTGAATTGCAATCCTTAAATTTCAGCCTCCTGAGTAGCTAGGATTACATACATGAGCCATCAGTACTCAGCTTTACTGTCCACTTTATATCTTTGACTTTTCAGTATTTTGATCCATCAAAAGCACAGTCTGTATCAGGTGCATGCCATCAGTATAGTCCAATCTAGTATTAGGGCTTGAACTCGAGGCATTGGTGCTGCCCCTTAGCATTTTTTGTTTTTGTTTTTTGTCGGTCATGGGTCTTGAACTCTGGGCCTGGGCCTGGGCACTGTCCCTCAGCTCTTCAGCTCAAGGCTAGTGCTCTGCCACTTGAGCCAGAGTGCTACTTCCATTTTTCTGGTGGTTAATTGGATATAAGAGTCTCACAAAAGCTGGGCACTGGTGGCTCATGCCTGCAATCCTAGCTATTCAGGAGGCTGAGATCTGAGGATTATGGTTCAAAGGCAGCCGGGGCAGGAAAATCTGTGAGACTCTTATCTCCAATAAACCACTAGAAAACTGGAAGTGGCGCTGTGGCTCAAGCAGTAGAGCGCTCGCCTTGAGCTGAAGAGCGCAGGGACAACTCCCAAGTCCAGAGTTCAAGCCCCATGAGCCACCAAAAAAAAAAAAAGAGTCTCACAGACTTTCCTGCCTGAGCTGGCTATGAACTGTGATCCTCAGATCTTAGCATCCTGAGTAGCTAGGATCACAGGCATGAGCCACTGGTACCAGCCCCCCTTAGTGTTTTTACTCAAGTTCACACTCTACCCCTTGAGCTATAACTTCACTTTGGGCTTTTAGATTGGTTAATTGAAGATAGAGTCTCCCATGGACTTTGCTGCCCAGCCTAGCTTTGAACCCTGATCCTCAGATCTCAGCCTCCTAAGTAGCTAAGCAAGTATAAACCCCCATCTCTGGGCCCCATTGTGTTTGTTTTTGTTTTTTGTTTTCCCAGTCATGAGGATTGAACTCTCAGGCCTGGACGCTAACCGTGAGGTATTTTTGCTCAAGGTTAGCACTCTACCACTTGGAGCCACAGCTTTATGTCCAGTTTTTAGGTACTTAATTGGAGATATGAGTCTCATGGCCTTTCCTGTCCCATCTGGCTTCAAACCAACATCCTCAGATCTCAGGCTCCTGAGTAGCTAGGATTAAAGACATGAACCACCAGCAGCTGGCACATTGTTTTCATATGTGTCACTATTCAGACCCATGCATTATCATTACTTTTCAGTTTTAGAATTTTTGTAGACCTTCAAATCTAATTACATTTCAATTAATTCCTCTCATCACTAGTTATTTGCAGAATTATTGTTGGCATTGTCCTTTTGAACTCCTGATTTCATAGAATAGTAAGTGATCTTCCTAGGTTGTAGACAGGTAAAACTTAATGATATAAATAACTTTGCATTTCAATTGTAATTTTCCCTTTCTTTCTTCTTTTGATTTTTTTCTTTTTTCCTACCCTCCCTTCTTTCTTTTTCTTCCCTCCTCCCCTTCCTCCCTCCCTCCCCTTTCTCCTTCCTTCCCCCACTCCCTCCTTCCCTCTCTCCCTCCCTCCTTTCCTTCCTTCCTTCCTTCCTTCTTTTCTTTCTTCCTTTCTTCCTTTTTTGTTTTTTTTTGGGGTCCGGTCGTGGGGCCTGAACTCTGGGCCTGGGCGCTGTCCCTCAGCTCTTCAGCTCAAGGCTAGCGCTCTACCACTTGAGCCACAGAGCCACTTCTGGCTTCTTTTTTCTGCTTATGTGGTGCTGGGGAATCGAACCCAGGGCCTCAAACATGC